CCGTCCCTGCCGTGGCCGCCGCCCCGCGCTCTGACATTTCTTCAGCTGACTCAGAGGGCCGCGGCCCAAATGCTCCTGTGTACGGGGAGCGACGCATCCGCTGTGTGGGGCCGGGAACATCTCGGTTCTGTTCCAGAACAGCCTCTTCCCGCCAAAGGACACGCTGTCCCCAGGGGGAACCGTTTCTCCTGTCCCCTCCCCAGCCCCAGGCAACCGCCGAGCCACTTTCTAGCTCTGTAAATTTGCCTGTTCTGCGTGTTTTACGTCAGTGGGATCCCACACCGTGGTGGTTTCGTGTGTGGTTTCTCTTACTCCGCCCGGCTTCCTCAAGCTCCACCCACGTTTCAGGAGGTGCTAGAACACCCTTCCTTTTTCGCGGCTGTATAATATTCGACAATGCAAACGGACCGCACTTTGCCCCTCCAGTCAGCATCACTGGACACAGGGTCACTTCTACCCCACGGCGGCTGTGGAACCAGCTGCTGTGAACGCTCGGAATAATTTTTTTTTTTGTCATGGGATGAACTCGGGACCTTGCACTTGCAAGGCAGGCCCAGTACCCAGCACACGTCTTGCCTGAATGGCCATCTCCAAATCTCTGGGAACGTGCCTCGCAGGGGCCAGTCAGGTTGCTCGCGATGGGCTGTGCTCTGGGTCCTGGACATTGCCCAAGGCCACGTGGGGAAGGCTCGGTCTCCATCTCGGAGCCACAGGAGCCGGTGGGGGCGTGGCCGGGAAGGGTGCATCAGAACCCGGCTCTCCCCTGTCTCCGTTTCCTGGTCCCCAGATGTGAGCGTCTTTCCTCCCCACGCCCCTCCGCATGATGTTCCTGGCTCGAAACAGCCGACCGTGGACGGAACCCCTGAGACCGTGGGCCCAGTAAACCTCTACGTTTACACCTTGTCAGTGTCAGGGTTCTGTCCCCGGCCCGGAGCTCCAGGGCCAAGGCCCAGGCGTGGGTGGCACCGGCTCCTCCCCGGGCCTGGCTCCCAGGCTCCTGTGTCCTCACACGCGCCCCTCCGTGTGTGTCTGCGTCTTCCCGGCCTCTCCTCTGAGGGACCCAGCCCTCTGCCCCGGGGACTCAGTTTACTTTCCAGCTCTTTAAGGCTCTCTCAGGCTGGCCCGGAGCTCACAGTGACGCTCCTGCCTCAGCCTCCTGAGTGCCAGGATGACAGGCGTGCGCCACCACGCACAGCAGAAAACACATTTTTCACTGACCAGGCCCTGAACTAGGAGGCGACCGACGGCAGGGACGCAGACAGCCCGGTCCTGGACGTCGGGGCCACGCGACCTGTACGTGCGGAAGCCCGGGGGGGGGGGACTCACCACGATCGTGTCGGCCCCGATGACCATGTCAGGGATGCGCAGATCCTTCTGGAAGAGAACGCGCCGACTGAGGCACGTCCATCCCAGCCTCCGCTTCTCTTGCGGTGCAGGCGATGGGGCTCCAGCTGAGGTAGATTTGGGCCCCAGATCATGCCTGAGGCAAGGCCAAAAGGGCTCTGATTCGCTCAGTGAGATTGGAGGAAAAGGAGGTGAAAACGACAAGAAAATCCCAGTGGAAATTTTCACCTCGAGGCCTGCAGCCATCCCAGCACTTGGGAGGCTGAGGCAGGAGGATCTCTGGGGTTCGAGGCCAGCCTAGGCTCCAAGTGATTTCAAGGCCAGCCTGGACTGCATGGTGAGAGCCTTTCTCAAAAAACCAAAGTAAGAGGGCCGGGGATTTAGCTCAGTGGGGCCACCTCCCGCCTCGCAAGCGCAGGGTCCCGAGTTTGATCCCCAGTACCAAACAGACACAGCCCGAGTGAGGCCCATCGGTTTCACGTCCCCAGGGGCTGTGCCACGGTCCTTGTCGTAGGACGGCGTTCCGTCGCAGCAGGGCCATGTTAGGGCCACGCTAAGTGAGTATGTTCTGCAATACCTCAAGGCAAGAGGCGAGGTACAGAAAGTCCATCTTCTGCAGGTCAGCTCCACTGTGTCAGATACCCTGTGACTTAGCACCGTGCACTGACAGAAAAGCTATGGAAATCCTTTCTTTGCCCTCTTTTTATTATATATGTAATATATTTTTTTTTCCGGTACGGGGAATTGAACTCAGTACCTTGCGCTTGCCAGGCAGGCACGGCGCCCCTGGAGCTACACCCCCAGCCCTTTTTCCTTGTTTTCATGGTAATGGAGATGAAACCCAAGGCCTTCACGCCGAGCTGTGTGTTCAGCCCTTTTTAGTCTTTATTTTGAGACGGGGTCTAAGTCGCTAAGCTGCCCAGGCTGGGTTTGAACTTTCGATCCTCCTGCCTCAGCCTCCCCGGGTGCGGGGTGGGGTGGGGACGACGCTATACATTCGCTGCATCACGAGCTGCCCTTCCGCGAGACATTGGCCCCAAGGGGCCTTGGCCAGCTCACAGGGGCCGCAAAGACGGCGATCCTTCCGCGCGTGACCCAGGTTAGTGTGCACGGCACGTGCGGCGGGCACAGGCAGGGACGGGCGTGCGCTTGCCTGGTGCAGCCGGGTGGCCACCTCCAGAGCCTTCTGCTTGGCCGTCTCCATGGCGTACGCGTAGGGGCTGGGGAAGGACGATTTGCTCAGCTTCTCCTTGAAGCGGGACGGAACCACCTCGAATCTGAGGCCCTGGAGCGGAAGGAAGGCGTGAGGGATCTGGGTGCAGGCAGGGAGGCTGCAACCCCTCGCCCGCTTTCCGCAGGCCTGGACCGGAAGTCTGCGCGGACTGCACCGGAAGGAGAGTCCTGCGTAAGCCAGCGAGACGCTGCTGCGTAGCTATGGCAACAGCAGCTACGGTAACTCATCCCCTAGGATACAATGTTACACGGCACGCAGCAGCCCTGATACATTGTATCCGGTGCTACTTCGTAGCCATAGTAACACATCAGCCACTCCCTCATCCTACGGCTCAGGGGCTGCCCCACAGCCAACGAAGGGCTCCATCGCTGGGCCGTAGGTCCGATTCACTATCCTAGCAAGGCACAGCTGTATCCTACGCGACATCTTAACGCAGGAACGGGCAGAACTTCAGGGAACTGGGGCGGGCTGTGTCCCTGCACCGACTTCCCACGGAGAACGAAGCCTTACGCCCTGCAACGTGGACTGACAGAAACTTTACAAAAAAAATACCCACCTAGCTAGTAACAGGCAAGCTACTCAGAATTTTCCATTCTAAGTGACAGACGGTACGATTGGGATTCTGCGTTACTTCGAAGTGTACCGCGACCCACGTGAGTTCTGGACCGGAAATGATCACACTGCATTAATCGTAATAGTACCTTATTTAGTGGGCACGGGATGCCAGAGCCTAACTTTACCTCCGAAGCCTCTGCGCTTCGTTAACGGTAACCGTGTATATACACCACATAGCAACAGAGAAACTATATTACTTCAATCTTCAGGGATCTTTATGTGCTAACTATAGTAGGACATTATTTAGTAGAACAGAATGACTGTAACTTTGTATCCACTAAGTAACAGTGCTGTGTTTTGTTTGTTTTGCTCTGGTTTGTTGAGACAGAGTCTTGCTACATAGTTCAGGCTGACCTGGAACTCACTAGGGAGCCCAGGCTGGCCTTGAACTCACAGCGATTCTCCTGCCTCAGCCTCCCAAGTGCAGGGATGACGGGCGTGCGTCACCACACCCGGCTCCATAGTGCTACAGTAATTGTAAGAGTACATTACTTGGTACCTCACGGCGAACCGATAAACTACATTCATTCTGTATGTTAGGAGCCCACAGTAGGCAGGAGCAGCGCCGGCCATGGTACTCGGTGCTGCCTGCTCACGGTCACTCCGCCCTAACGCTGCCTGCACGGTGCCCGGTCAGGCGCGGGACGTGGACGCTGCGTCCGGGAGGGAAGCTCCGCTCCCAGCCGATGCACAGAGTGATAAACGCGCTGTGCTCACCGCGCGCCTGCGGCCGGCCCCGAGCCCCGACGGCAGGACACGGCAGTGGCCGGCGCCCACAGGCCACCTGCACGACTGTCCCGGCCAGGAGGCCGGAGGCCGGCAGCCAGGGTCAATGGGGCCCTGAGGTCGGCGACCCCAACGACCCGGCCGTGACACTCAGGGGAAGGACAGGAAGGGGGGCTAGGGACGGCGCAGCGGCGGCCTACCCGAGGACTGCGTACCCAGGGACGGGGGTGCTTCCTCCTAGGAGTCCCCAGCCGTCCCGGGTCCTCGACCCCCGACCCTAGGTGTCCCCAGCCGTCCCGGGTCCCCGATCCTTGACCCTAGGATTCCCCACCTGTCCCGGGTGCCCGACCCCCGACCCCAGGTGTCCCCAGCCGTCCCGGGTGCCCGACCCCCGACCCTAGGAGTCCCCACCTGTCCCGGGTCCCCGATCCCCGACCCCAGGTGTCCCCAGCGGTCCCGGGTCCCTGATCCCCGACCCTAGGAGTCCCCAGCCGCCCGGGGGGACCGATCCCCATTTGGAACAAAGAAAA